GTTAGATTTCCACTTTCAAAATTATTCATGCCATTTTTAAGGCTATCATCATTTCAAAACCTTAGTTATTCAACAGTCCCTATTATATTAAAATGTTGGCAAATAAATAAAGTATATACATTTCAAAATTTCTTTTCGTATTCCATAGTTGTATATTCAACGCTATAGGTGGTTATATCAACAATCTTTTTTTGGATTAAAGAGTTTGCAAATATAACTATAGAAACCTAAGAGAACTTAGTGCGAAAAAACAGTAAGCTTAATTCATATATCACTGTTTCAAAATTTATTAAAGGAAACTTTAAACTTGAATTTTTCATTCTCTTTTCATCATAAGATCTTTATTTGAATTGAATATAACTAAAACTTTTGTTAATATGACTTCTATCAATAATTTTTTTTAAAATTATTTATTTATATCCCTTTGTGTTTATTTTTCTCCCTTAATATTATTATTTCTTTATGAAGAAAAATTTAATAAAAAGGTACTTTTTAAAAAAAATCTTTTCTCTATCGATTATAGATTTTTATACATAAAAATGACAGTTACTCATGGAAGTGTAATAAAACTAATCCACGGTTTAATTGTTTAACGGAAACTCTTTCTTTCTCAAGAAAATAATGACAATAGTTGGTTGCTCAATTTTGTGGATTGGTTAAAGTTGGACATTAACACTGTTGAATGCAGGCTCAGTAAATCTAGAGCTTAAGCGCTCGTGCTCTGGACTGATAGGTCCTGTGTTGAAATCTCGCGAAGCGAGGTCGTAGATGCGCGACGCTGAGGAGTCTCGCATTTGGACGAAACGATCGCCCAGTGCGTCCGGGTTTCTCATGGTAGTCTAGCTTCAATTGACTCATGATTTCAACCATACAACAGTTATAGTTGATTTCTTTTTTTGTTGTTTCTATTATTCAAAATAAGAGGTGATCTCAACAAATTTGAACATTTTTAAATTTATATGACAGGATTTATTTCAACAGTTTAATTCTGTCAGTATATATATATATGTCACTAAATTAACAGAAATAATGATGAAGAATGGATTTATTCAACTTAATATTTAACAGTTTTCTGTAAAACATCATTCATATATTTCTAGTTGTAAATGTAAACAACTCATTGGATATAATTCGAAAATTACCAGAATATTTGTCATTCTTGTCTAAAATGAAGTGAACAAAATTGATATTGAAAAAAGTGTTCATTATTCAGAATAATTTATATTATTTAAAAATATTTGAATAAGTAGAGTTATCAATTTTGACGTTTTTTTTATTTTTAACTAGAAATTCTAGGTAATCCTTGTAGTATTTAGTTACCACTTACAAAAAAAGAAATATGGTTTCAGTTTGAAATATGTTCCATTTTTACAAGAAAGATCACTAAAATTTTAAAAAACAACAACTTTAATTTCTACTCAGTAATTGATAGAAAAATATCTGAAGGGGTTTTGTGGAGATTTCAGTATTTTCATAGTTGACATCATGAGTCAATTGAAGCCAGACCACTATGGGAAACCTTGGAAGCACTAAATGGCCGTTTCCTCGTATTGTGGGACTCCTCATCATTGCGCAACCACGATCTCTCCTCGCGAGATTCGAACTCAGGACCTACCAGTCTCGCACCAGAGCGCTTAACCACTAGAGTGGGTTCAAATCTCGCATGGCGAGTTCGTGGATGAGCACTGCTGAGAAGTCCCACAATAGGACGAAACGGCCATTCAGTGCTTCCAGGTTTTCCATAGTGGTCTAGCTTCAATTAACTTATGATTTCAACTATGAAAAAAAATATCTATTACTTCTGTAGATATGAACTATTAAAAAAAGGATATTTTTATCAAGAGTCTGTTTATGTGGAAATGCAAAACATCATTGTTTTTCACTTGGTATTGTTTGTTTGAATCTTCCCATCGATGTGTCCATAGATGTATCCTGGATTCTTGTGCTAGCCACTATTCATCTTCTTATTTTGCTTGTATTATTGTTTTTGTTATTAGAAAACAGTATAATTCACATATCTATTAAAATATGAAATGAAATAATATGAACATTTGTAAAATTTCTAGGAATAAAAATAGAATAATCATTCGGATGCACTTTTCATCGAATAATTACTGAACTTACGATTTCTTCACAAATAAAGATGCATATGATTTCAAAATTAGAATTGGTAAATTGTTAACTATAATACATTACTTATTATTTTGTATAGAATAGGTTCCCCCTTTTGTGATTCACCCTAATAAATAAATGTTACAAACATTTGTTAAACTCTAGAATGATCAGGACAAACTAAATTACTGTTTTGAAGCGAACATCAACTCCGAGATCCATGTATATTCAGCTGACAAGTAAGAAATAAGGACGAAATGAGCATTATGAATTCCACTATTAGTCGCTATTTATCTCTGCTTAAAAAGTGGTTTTTACTTAGTTATAATATTGAAGAAATTCGGATAGGGTGCACATGTGTCTAAAGAGACTGATCAATTGGAGCCTTATACGTCCATGAGAAGATTCAAACAACCAATTCATATGACTTAAACTTCAATATACTTTTAATACTTCCTACAGCGAAAATGATGTATTTGTAAGATATCTAACAAATTGTCACTTAATGTTACAATGATGGTACTGATTAACTTTCGAAAGTAGTTTCACTCGATTTTAGTAAAACATATTTTGTAAACAAACAGTACTATTTATGAACTAAAAAAATATGATTATGATATATGTTTATTCGACAAAATATAACCGGTCAATATGAGTAATGAATGATAGTTCAAGCAAAATATTAATCGACTACAACTGAATATAATTTTACTAAATAATTAAATTGTATTTTTTTCACTGGTTATGGTTAGAATTCATCCACTACGTTCAAGCACAACATATAAGATATTGACAATCATATCAGGTTTCTCTGATTTATGTGAAAACTTAAAGTCAAACAAAATCTGGAGCTAGTATGTATAAGTTCAAGCTCACTTACCATAGATTACCGCAATAAAGCAAGAAACTAACCGGGTCTATGAGTCAAGATAATAATTACTGCATTATAAATATAGGTAATATATTTCAAATGAGAATAAATTAGATTGAAGAAAAAAGCATTTTCAATGAAATAACCCTAATAGAATTTCACTTTTGATACCATCTAGTTAGAATGAATTTATTGAGGGATGAAACGTGGTCCAAAATTATAATCTAGTGAATTATAAACTATTAAATCAATCAATTAATCGTGGCTACGTTTGAAATAGAGAATAAATATTTTTGTAAACGAAGTCATTATACTGATCATTTATGAATAAAATTACTTTTATTAATTTATAAGCATAAACAAAGTTTTAATGTACCTGGGGAGAGTCCTTTCTCCCTCTATAAATGCTCTCATATGGCCACGCCTATATAGCCTCTGCCAGGGAAGTCCTACTTACTGCCTTCTCGTGGCGGGTGTTGGTTACGAGATTGAGAGGACGAAAAGCGAACTACAGGCGCTTTAACCGGGTTGGTAGACACGAAAAGTTAACCTAGAGGAGTTGGAAAACCCTGATTACAAACCAATGGTGCACATGGGCTCCAGTATCCTGAGGTAACAAATGGCATATGAATCAATCGTCGGTCACCGGCTACAATGGGACTGCATCTCCTCACCATGCTCCACTGTCTTATGGATCAGAGCTTTCGGTCAAAGGCTCCGGGTGTAGCCCCCTAAGAAAATACCTGTTTGGGTTTGGGCACCCGGACAGTATCACAGCCCTGACACAAATCAAATGAGATTTGTGTGACGCATATGTATCTGGTGAACCTTTGTACCAATATTTATGTGTTTAAATAAATAATAGTAATTGCTAATTTTTGACCAGCATGCAACCGGCTTTTTATGCCACACACTTTAAAAATACGAGAACATGAGATTAAAGACGGGAAATATGAATAAATAGATTTTAGCGGATAAAATTTATGAGAACTGTCATCATATATGGATAACCAAATGAAATAAAAGGTTCTACATTATATAATTACAAACTGTGTGATTGTTGTTCTATTTATCATATATTCTGCTTCTGTTATGCCCTACATTTTACTGATGAGTACTACAAACATACAGTTGACACTAAATTATTACATTTCATCATTACATTTCATCACTATAAGATATTTCCACCACCACATTTTTGACTCTCATTTCCCCTTTATACAAGATATATACATATATGCAGGTTAAGGGAGGGAGAAACGCAGAAATTAAATAGTATTTGACCATTTTTATAGTCCACAGGCTTTCAAGATCACGATTGGAAACAAAATCCATTTTACGACAAGGCCATTCAAAGCATTTGTCAATAATAATTTTGAATAATTGATAAATATATGATAAATATTTTGCTTCGTAACTAAATCATAACATAGACTTTGTCATCTTTGAGTCTTATAATACTACACTTACAATCAGAATTACCCTAATTACAAATAAACCTAAATTATGTTTTAAAGGCAATTATATACCACAGATAATTATATATCAGATGTCTTGGTCTGCTATACTTCTGTGACATTTACGAGTTAATTCTATTATTGACAACAAAGTTAAAGGAATCTTCTCATTCTAAAAGAATTTTTTATTTACTTGAAGGTCGTTTTCTACTTCACAGAAACATTTGATGACTTTTGTGTCTGTCGGATAAAAGAAAGCACAAAAATTTTCATTCCATAAGTGACTTTAATCTAAAAAGTCGTGTTTAAAAACAGATTATCAGTAAAATGCTAGGATCGTGAGGTTGTATTCATTCATTTCTGAATTAAAATGATAGTGTTTGCTCTAATTTCTTGCAACACTTTTCAATAAACACATGCAAATTGGTCAGGATTCTTTCTGCCAAACATCATAAGATTTATAAAACTTTTTAAGAATAACAACAATTAAATTTTAGCTTCTATTTCTATTATTGTATTCAATGTTAATAAAAACATTTTTCTTTATTTTTGTTTCAAAGGCAAAACGATCGACAGACAATATGTTTATTGTATGCATCATCTGTTGTGGCTGCAAGTCTTTCAATTGCAGTTGCGTCAATGCAATACGCTGAGGAGGTAAGTATAGTTGATTTATGTTCATAAGGATTGTTATATTTATTAGTGATTCTACCTAGATAATAATAACCAATTTTCTTTTCAAGTTATCTATTATGTACTTTGTTGTGCGAAACTTAATTAACAAGCGTTCGAAATACAATTAGCAATTCAGGAAATATACTATGTGTATTAAATTTATGAATACCAAATTAATTAATTCAGCTTCCTTTGTTTATAGTTACGTATACAGGCAGTGATAAATGTGGAGTACTGGGAATTGAAAATTAGTGGTTAAAATAGCATTCCATTTTATCATGGGATATATTGGAGAGGAGTAATGATTGCTCAAAAAAGTGATATTAGACTTCTATAAACGTTTTTCTATTTTCTTAGAGGCAATCTGAACTCGAATATATTGAAAACTTGTTCCTTTTTGCTCAAATATATCAACCCATGTAATAATAACGGTTCAAATAATGTCCATAGGTAGTTGAAGGAGAATATGTTGTTCTTTCATCAAATTATTATAATGCTAGGAAATCAAAATATACTGAACTTTGAAACACAAAATATAACAAGCTTTGCAATTTGATAGAATTATAGTTAGTGTCACTTACTAAAGATGTGTCTCTGCTTTCATAAGATGTTTGATTGTAGTTGAAAGCATTGGTTGGAAAATATTTTATTGAAAAAAGTCGAATTCTTCTGCTTCCACAAGGTTACAAGTACACCATAAGGACTAGAGCCATCTTAGGTTCGACGATTTCTAACGACTATATCTAATCGCTATGGGCCATCTTATATCGATTTATTCGACCAACCAATAAATATTTAAATGATTTTAAAAGTATTCACTTCTCAATGTGAATTCATTTATGACTATTTTAAGGGGTGAGTAATGACTAGTAATTTCGATACAACGCTTCCATTCTTTAAACACAATAATCTTTGTACATATTCTGAGTTGTAAGCTTGAAATGTTGTTAAATACTCTACCTATCTAGCTAATAAATATATTATGGCTAAAGTTACGTAAATGTTATTGCTTTTCGATGATTAGGTAAGAATTATGTTCACATAGATACTTGAAATATACCACTTTATATTTTTCTGTTTACGTTTTCATCTGTCAACAACTCTGTAGATGGTATGTAAAGTGAAGAATTGTATAAATGTCTCTGAATACTATTAACTAATCACTGAAACATGGGTTTAGCAACTAGATCATTAATATAACTGAAAATCAGAACGGATTATCATGAAAACACTTACTTTTTTATAACACCCAACATAAACATTAAGGTGTTATTAGTAAACTAGATTGTATGGAATTATTCTCTCTTTTCATGATAACTAGGGAACAGTTAGTGATGAAATGCATTCAAACTTCACATAAAACTACCTTGTCAATCTTGTAATTTAGCATGTTCTATTTCCAGATGATAATAAACATTTCGTAAAAATCACTATTGATACAAAAAATTGAATGGTAGTTCATCAAACTTCATATGTCAAATCTTTTGTGTTTTATAGATTACTATGTTGGTTACACAATTTTCTGTAGGTGTAATAACACAAACAAATGTAACTCCTCTTGTAACATTTCAATTGGATGGTTAAATACAATTATATATATATATATATATATATATATATATTACTAACTAAATTCTATTTAAATATTAGTTACGCCTGTTATTTATCATGGAGGAGCATAGACCGCACACCAGCATTCTCCATCTAACCCTGTCCCAAGCAATCCTTACCAGTTCTTTCTCGTTAACATTTATCCTCTTCATGTGTGCTTCTATTTCCCAGAATAATGTGTTCTTTGGACTTACTCTTTTCCGTTCCCTTTCACGATTCCAAGTTAGCGCTTATCTCTGGATGTAGTCTTGTGTTTTCCTTAATGTATGTCCGACCCACTCCCAACGTCTTTTCCTGCTTTCCTCTTCAGCTGGAAGCTGATTTGTCCTCTCTCACAGTACGTTGTTGCTAATGGTATCTGGCTAGTGAATGTTGAGTATTTCGCATAGACAACTGTTTATAAAGAGATATATTCATTAATAACTATACATATATATTCTCCTTAATATTCATATCTATCCAGAACAAGAACACAAATGGGGACAATCGAATGTATTTAAGCACAAATTACAGACTATCTCACTAAATTCTGATAACCATATAGTCAACAGTCAATTAGCAAAATAACAATCAGTTGCCTCAATCTGTCCAGATACATTCGACGTCTAACCATCACCACACTACTTATATGAATATAAGTGGACCCCACCACACTATAGAGTTCTTCTTCTTTAATTACATGGTAGACAAAATAAAAACTGTCAAAAATTATTTTTATAATTATCTAATTTTTAAGCACTTCACACGATAAATAACTTAGACATCTTAATTATGATTAGTTAAATAAAAAATTATTCACTAGAATATTATAAATCAGTCTAGACAACATCAAAATGATATAATCTTTATTACCATAGAAACTTAGTTTTGATTTATTAATGAATATCACAAATAAATAGATAAAATAGATCAAATAATTCAGTGATCTAATAAAAACTGACCATTGGTATTACAGAAAAAAAAGAAAAAAAAAGAAAACTGGAAAAAAACAACTCATTGATCTAATTATGAAAACTAACTTTCATTTTAATTTGCTTTGTTTAATTAATTTTGTTCATTTAAAGATATTTAGATAAACTAGATATAAGACAATTAATTGTTTAAAATTAATAAAGCATAGTAACATATTTAAGGAGGTAATTTGAATTGAAAAGCAGTATAGAAAAGAAAATTATAATATACTCTAATTTAAAGCAATTAGTCCCTTTAATAAATTTCGATAGAGTAATAAGAAGACAAAGATTATAAGAACTATGTGATATATTAGCGCAATACATTTCTAATAATCTGATCACATATATACTTGTTATATATAAAAATAAAAAATTAACTAGACTGGAATTGTGGAGGGTAAGAGGAGACAAGGATAATAATAAAAATAATAATAATAAAAATAATGTGGAAACAATTTGACACTTAATCACTGTGGATGATAAGCTAATATTAACAGGGTAGGTTTAAGGTGAGAACAAAATGTTTTTGAATACACAAAGGGGTTTTGAATTTTCGTCTCTCATGCGAAGAGGAGAAGAACGACCAACTTCCCTTCTTAGATATACTTCTAAGCAGACGAGAAGATGGCTCAATCAATTCCATTTTTCGAAGTTCGACGTAGACGGGCCTATACCCTAGTTACGGGGATTGATAAGATGTCTATTTAGCAGGCTTAATCGTATTTGCACAAACGATGCTATTGATGATGATGTAAGGTTGTTAAACAAGACATTAACGAAGAATGGTTATCCACCTAAATTTATCAATATATGGAAAGTTAATGGCGCAGTGAGACCTACTGTAGCCTAGGTGGAAAATAGCCTGTCTACATCACCTTACCATTTAGAGGTGATTCAAATAGCCTTTCATTGAAGCAAAGGCCTAAATCAGTCATCAACAAAATGTATTGTTGATCAGAAGAGGTTTTGTGGAGCAATGTATGAACTTTCATACATTCTTTTTATTGATCACATCAAAAACGAATAATAAGCCTTATGAGGTAATCTAAATCTTTGAAAACATCTTTGTTAAATTTAAAATTTCACACCTCTGAAACAATTTACAAATAAATTTTCTAGAGCCATCTAACAAAATCCCAGAAGGCTCTTTATTTTAACTCATTTACATTTCAATATCACAGTTAATAAAGACAAATGACTTTGAAAATAAACTAATATACCAGAAAATTACATTGGTCTTTTCTGAATAATTAGTTATATGATACTGTCTACAAATGAGTCTATTCAGTAGAATGTACTGGAATTCCTAGATTTCGATAATTTGAACATTTTTCTTTATCCCTTTCATAGTAATTAGATTCCAGACTTCAATAATGTAATGAGGAATCGAAGTTTATCATAATTATGTGATATATTTGAACAATACATTTCGAACAATCTGAGCACACATATATTTCTTAAGATAGTTTTGTATGAAGAATAAAAGGTAAACTAGACAGGTTAAGGTAAGCCTTAACAAAGAAAGAAAGTAAATAAAGTACAACGAAAACAACGTGTACTTTATTTATTTTTATATATAAATGTTCTTAACAAGTATATGTGTGATCAGACTGTTCGAAACGTATTGCTTAAATATATCACATAATTCTTATAAACTTCGTCTTCTCATTGCATTATCGAAATTTATCAAAGCGACTAATTGTTTTAAGATTCTAGATTCATTTTCATTTATTTATCAAGCTTCTTGTTTACTGCCTATTTATCCACTCAAACTTTTTTTAGTATTATTGATTCAGATTAACTACTTATATTATCCATTAGATTGTCAGAAATGATAAGTTTCTACTTATAATTTGAAATACCTTTGTTTTCATAAGTGAGAAAATTGGATTTAATACGCATTTATAAATTTAACCCCTTCAGAGAATATATCACTTATTTTCTGAAGAAGTGACTTACAGTGAGTCACGAAATGTCAGAAAATCAGTTGTTTTACTTATTGGGATATTACAAATATATTATTTTATATATCTATCTAATGCTCAATTTATTCGAAATTATCAAATCAAACCTTGGTAATGATATCTACGAATATTTATTCAATAGTTAATATGATTTCTAGCATTATGTAATCCCTTATTAAATATGTACTATTTATATCATTAGTTTCGATTTCCCTTCATCCAAATTGTCTATACATATTGCCATTAATCATTGCGGATTATTTTTTTAAAAATTGGAATTATAATAATATCTAAGTTATTAATGAACGAATACATATCTATGTATATGTATATGGGATTTATTTTTTGGAAATCAGGCTATTCTTTTAGGTGAAGTTTTGGATTTACAACTGTGATGACGAATGGACTGGTAAAATTAATTCAATCTATATTTATTTGACCTAAAAGTTTTGTTAAAAATCCTTGACATGTGAATTTTTTTCCTAAAAATATCATTCTATAGTTTACATATCTGATATAAAGATAGAATAATATAATATGATCATGGTTTCAGTTTGAATTGTTTTTACTCTCCCAGGGGTTTTGTATGTAAGTCATGACAAGTTCTTGATGATTTTAAGCCAAACTAAATGTATTTGTTTAGCGTCATATGTTGATTGAAATAAATTTGTTTTTCATGAATCGACTAATTTTACCATTAACAGTTACCGTTAAATAGGCAGATGAAATTAGTTGATTCAGAAACAGTAAGTCAGATTTCCAAAAGCATTATTTTTCCTGAATAAGTTCAATGGAACAGATTAAGCTTACAACTATGTACTTACGATGGAATTTATTTCTTTTAGTGATATGATAATTTACTAGTATTCTATGTAAACTAAGGCACAGATATTTTAGTAAAAAGCGAAACCCCAATGGTTCAACTTATTTTCAAAATAGACTGAAGTCTAAGAAAGTAATAGTTTAATCGTATGTAAATCACTAATATATTTTTTGGCTAATTCTGTTGCTTTTTACCAGGGCTTTCAGGCACACCTTAACGATGAAGTAATGCTTTGAAAAGTACTTAGTAGCAAATACCTAAATTTTCTTGGTCATAAATATGTTTATCTTATGTGCAATGTTATGCGATGGTATTTATTATGTACATTGTATTCCTAACTACTCCAAGAAAAGTATTACGAGGAAGTATTTATATTTTAAATTTACTAATCTGAAAGCAAAGACAACTTGTGATCGTTATTATTGCAGATAAGTTCAGGATCTTAAAGTCTGGAAAATTATAGCTGTAAAAGTTGAAAAATGATCTCCGAAATAATCTTGCATATGTAAAGCTTCCATCAAAATTACCCTAATATAAGAATTTTATCCATGTCTTTATGTTCAAGAAAATCCTAGATTTACTGACATATTGTACTTGAGGAATTTCATTCAGATCAATCAAGATACATAAAATTACCTTTATTAATGAAACTGGTTAGTATGATTAATCACCAACTACTATACTACTGTGGTTATGATTGCTTAAATGATTAATAAGCTTATTATAACGAACGGTTATGTAGATAATAATTAAACATATTGCCGACCAAACAAACAAACGTTGCAGATATATTTCTGAGAGATCAAGAACATTTTTTTACTAGACATATGGAAAATGGATACTTGCCACATAATTTCATTGATGCAACTTTGTGTCTCTATTTGTCAAAAAGAAACATAATTTACTTTTCAGAGATAAAATAAAAATTGAGTAAAACTAACTTTTACTTAATTTGAAGTTTGTCACTTTTTATTTATTTTGTATTTTTCTTCATTTTTTAAGGTTGATCAACAGACTATTACTGCCAAGTGGGGTAGACCTTTGTTTTCAAGTAGTCTCTATGCCACATGCTGTCTACTATTAATTATAATGGCTGGTTACTTCGAGTTTCATAGAATGGAGACATTCGAAGCTGTATATCGAGGAACTGGACCGGTTCCATTCAGTGTAAAATTTTCAGTCAAAGGTGAAAAAGTCAATCTGTATTTACGGCTTGGGTTAGCAAGTAAGTGATTTTTTTCTGTAATTTGAAACATTTAGATTTTTTATTGTTAAAACACGGCAATATTTTCATTTATCACAGACGGTCACTAGAAAGTACTGAGTAATTTCATGTGCATGATAATCTTCTGCAGTGTATTTAAGCTCGTTATCAGTACGTCTTTCATGTTTGAATGCCTTTCAGCATCAAAGTTTATAAAACAGTTGACAAAATTTAAGTTTTATCCCTAATCCATTAATGACTTAGTGGGTTTTTGAATACAGTATCGAAGTTATGCTAACATTCTTCATCTTAATGAAATAACAGAGGATTGGTCAGAACTCATTGTTCAAATATATTCCATGTTGTTTATTATCTACAGTGTTAACTAAGTAAGTACACGACGGTCACTAGGATTTATTAAATGGTCACACATAAGATCGTATCTTGGTTTTCTCTTGCAGTACAGGTATATCCTCTGGTGTTAATATTAAATAATGATATGTAACTATGTCTTGTCATTTTTTTCGAACAATTTTTAACACATTATGGTATGTTTTTTAAATTAACAAGTGGGGAATAACATTAATTTCTTAAAACGAAAGAATAATGTTTTTTTCGGATTAATCATATGATACTGTATTATTCTAAACCAACGAGACAAGTGAGTTATTTGTCATTTGGAAGCTCATTAATATTCATAAAATTTTCCCCATGTGAAAAATTTCTTACGAATACATTGATAATCGTTATTCATTTTTTATGAAGTGAAAAATGTTAAGCTACAAGTTTATCGTGTATACCAGTTAGTACAAATTCAATTTTACCGTGAGTTTAGTTTTAGAAACTGTTGTGACATGCGGTACTGATACTGATATACCATGTACTACACACTAACCCCTCAATTGACTACTTGAACGAGAACACAAGAGTGAGCGAGAAAGCATATTGGACTACGGAATGAAATTCACAAATACTCATTCATATAATCATATAATCATTCATATAATCCTTAGGAAATTGACACGTTTCTAAGCCATTGAATTGCACATGTGCTTTAGGTTATGTCTGATTGCCATCGATTGACCTCCTCATTAGGCTACTTCTGATTATCGCTTTATATCAGAAACAATAGTTTATTTCATCAGGATTACACTTAAAAATATATGACATCAGCATTGAATATTTCCAAAAGTCTATCATTTGACCAAACATCTTTGTTTCCTGATAAGTGAGATATCAATGGGACAATGACCAAACTGACTTAGGATTTAAATCTGGTGATTTACGCAACGGGTGTCCTATCCACTTCCATCGTCCTTTCCTAATTTCCTCTTAAGATGGAATCTGGTTTGTTCTCCCCCACCGTAGGCTGTTGCTGATGTTATCCAGTCAACGGACACTGGATATCTTGGGTAGACAATTGTTTATAAGTACTTGTGCCTTTTTGATGATGATGGTTGCATTCGTTCTTGAAGTTTCAGCTTCAAACAGTAGAACTGTCTTGACGTTCGTATTGATGATTCTCACTTTGATGTTGGTTGACAGTTGTTTTGAGTTTTATATGTCCTTGAATTGTAGGAATTCTGCTCTTATTTTGATAATCCTTGCCTTTATGTCTGCATCGGATCTTCCCTTTCCATCGGCGATGCTAACCAGGTACGTGAAAGATTCCCTCTGTTCCAGGGCTTTTCCATCAAGTGTGATTGTGTTAGTGTTCTCCGTGTTGTATTTGAGGATGTTGGTTTTTCTCTCGTGTATATTGAGGCTAACTGATATAGAAACTTCTGCTACACTGTTTGTCTTGACCTGCATTTGCTGGTGTGTGTGAGAGAGCAGAGATAGGTCATGCACAAAATCCAAATTGTCTACCTGCATCCAACCTGTCTGTTTTATTCTGTGCTCCCCCTCAGATGTCGACGTCTTCATAATCAAATCAGTCACCAGAAGAAGGAAAAAAGGTGAGAGTAAGCGACCTTATCTGACACCAGTCTTCACTTGGAATCCATCTGTCATTTGTCCTCCATTCACCACTATGCAGTGTATCTCGTCGTATGAATTCCCGATGATGTTGACGATCTTTTCAGGTACACAACAGTGTTGAACAAGGTTTCACAAGGTTCTGCTATCCAAGCTGTCAAACATTTTCCAATAGTCAAAATGTCGATATATAGTGACGAGTTCTATCCAACTGATAGGTCAACAATGATCAGTAGTGTAGCGATTTGGTCTGTGCTGACTTATAAGTTGGTTTAACGACCCACTTTTGAGAACTTTTCCCGGTACTAATAGTAGTGGGATGTCTCTGTAGTTCTCACTATTGATGGGGTTTACTTTCACTGGTATCTTGATGATGTGTTCTTCTTTCTAGTCTGTCTGCACTTGTTCTTCCTCCAAAATCTTTTTGAATAGTACTTGAAATATACTTGCAGTTACTTCCACGTCCGACTTTAGGGCGTCAGCTGAGATATTTTTAGGTCGTGTCTAATGGCCGTCCTGATTTCTTCAATCGTTGGTGGAGTGACATCTGCAGGGAGGTCTGTGTGTGCTGCTTCGATGTCCAATGAGTTCAGCGGGACCGGTTTATTCAACTGTTTTTCAAATATCTCTACCCACCTGTTCCAATGTCCTTGACTTGCTATCTTTGTTCTTGACTGGTCGTTCTGGTTTACAGTATTTCCTTGCTAATTGTTTCATATTTCCCTTCTGCTTTAGATTTTTATGCTGTCGTTGATAGGTCTTCCACGTATTTCTGTTTTTCAGCTCTAATACTCATCTTCACTTGCTTGTTCGCTTCTGTGTACTCAGCTTGTGCCTTGGCTTTCTTTTTTCTTATTCGACTATTGTTAATTGCGGTCTTTTTGTTCTTCCTTTCTTGAATCTTGGCTAAGGTTTCTATAGACATCAATTTCTTATGATGATGCTTCTTGAGGCAGAGCACCTCCTGGAACTTGGAAGTTAGTGCTTCTTTGATCCCTTTCCAAATGATCTCCGTGGCAGTTTATTTTTCTTTGAGTAGATCTTGTAAGGCTTGAAACTTGTTGTTGTGAGTTATCTTAAATTTGTGGAGTTTGTCAGTATCTGGAAAGTAGGCTGTATTCAACTTTTGCAATGCTGTTTGTCCAGTTTTGCAATGCTTCGTTAGCTTCATTTTGTTCTTGACAGTCACCCGATGAAGCTCTTCCTGGTCCTCTATTTTTTCTCACATCTTCTATTGACCTTTTAAATTATTTAGTGATACAAATGTAATCGATCTGGTTCTTTTTAGTGTGATCCGATGAGACCCTTGTAACTTTCTGTATGAGTTTGTTGGGGTATATAGTGCCATCTATAAACGTTTTGTTGAATACACGTACATCTGCAAATATCCCGTCATTTTCGTTCATTTCTCCTAGTTCATGTCTTCATACCTGGTGTTGTCCATTCTGACCTTAGTGTTAAGGCCTCTAATCAGGATTGTCATGTTCTTTTATTTTCTGTCCAGCTTGGGTTGGATGGGTTTCGCTTAATGTGAGCACTTTCAAGCTGTCTCCTCATTCATGTTGCTATTTTATTAGTCCTCCCTGTATCCCACAATGTGCAGACATTCCATGTGCTTGTATTAATTGTTGCTCTGGTTGTTAGGAGAGGCATCATCCTTTAACTTCTGAAGAACCACGACTTTCACTATGTTGCATCACAATTATTTTGAATAAAGATCCTTGAACTCGGAGGGCGGAGTTTAAATGGCTTAAATGATTTATTTTGGTCAGCGTCTTTTTAGCAAGGTTTTTGTCTACGAGATGGGGTTGTTGACTTCACGCCCAACCCTCTTCCTTTATTCCAGCTATGTACCGGCATTTACTCTGGAAGGTCTACCAGTCATGGTAATTATAGTCATAGTAATCAGTAACTGTCAAATATTGAGTGTTATTGACTCGTTTACTACTTCAGTACTCTAACTTTTGATGAGTTATTTAAAATATTCATATTATTTTGACTAACCCTTATTTCTTTAAACTTCCAGTAATGATAAGTCTTCAAAAGCCCCATATTATACTTTTACATATGATTTCTAGACTGTTTCATAGGGTTCAAATAGAATCTACTAGTATAATTGTGTTCAGTGGTAAGATATTTTTAGGTGATATAATAAATAGTGTTGTAACCCTTTATTGTTTGTTTCAGTGTTTGGGTTAATGAGTATTGGTCACGTTGCTGTTAAATGTGTTGAAGAAGCCGAAATCACTGACGCTGTATTCAATTTATACTTGAAATCGATATTGGAAATGGCATTTTATGTACTTCAAACATTATTTATACTCAGATATCATAGGGTATGTATATTAACACTTTTTAATGCCTTATTAATAAACAAATGTAAGGACTTGAAAACCTACATGAGGATGTATAAATGTTAACAGACCAAAACAATGATTGATTGATTTTTATTGTAGGAAAATTGAAATTACAACGAACCTCATAAATTAATCACAAACAGAATTATCAGTTAAATAAATGAAACTAGAATTATAAAGACTTGGTAGCTGAATAGTGAATAAGTTTTCACTTTTCTTGACTAAATTTTTGTATTTCCCAGCAATCACTTGTCATTTGTTATTGTAATGGACGATATTCGTAAGACAGTTTTTAAACATCATCCTGAGTGACTGGAAAAGTCATACTATAGTGAACGAGAACATACAAGTGAGGACAACTGAATGTATAAGAACACATCACAATATTTCTTAGTAAAATCTGAGAACCATACAGTAAATATTTCATTTGCAAAATGTCGATCAATGGCTTCAGACTTGAATGTTACTTTTACAAAGATCAGTCAATCGTCTCAGACTTCATTATCCTTTCCTTTTGACACCAATCATTTTTTGTCTTCGTTCTCTTTTTTTATCTTCTTAACCTTCTGCCTCCAGGGATTTCACCTCCTACTGCTGATACATACTACTTATATATGTCAGCATCAGTAGCACACACCACAATACGACCGATTAGAATGAATACTCCTTTATATGTTCAAGACTGAACGTAAAACGATATAAGTAGTTCTATCGAACTGTCCACAAACAAGTAATATTATGACTGGAATCGACTTGTAACAGAATTAGTCATGTTATTCCTGGGTAATAAAACGTGTTGTTTTGATTCGCTAAACTATTTTTATTTGGATTACTATTCACCGGTGAAATATAAATTCCTATTGTAAATTTGTATTTTAGAATGATAATTACGTATTCATTTATATTGAGTTAACATTTTTTGTTAAGCTATGTACTACACGTTTTCGCTGATCCCAGTCAACCCCTTCGTTGTTATGTGACAGAATTTGTAAAATAACAAAAACGTCGTTCCTAGACAAGCATTAATCAAAATCGACCTTATTGTCTGAAATTGCTTGTATCAAACGTATTAAACATCGGTTTATTAAATCATCTAACCATCGTTACATAATATGAGAAACTGTATTATATTATGAATCTCGATCGTAGTAGGATAAAACAAATATATAAATGTGAAATGTCGTTAAATGAATAAAGACCTAAGGATCAACTACTGTCTTTTTGCCTTAAACGAATTATTGTAGAGATATATTTTAAGACATACATTTGCATGAGGAAAGTGTGTTGTCTTCTCCATGCTAATAACACTATTAATCGAAATTTTAATGAAATTGAATCTTTTGAAACATTTCACTGATTTGTGACAAAGTCAGTTTTCTTGTTAATAGTTTCTTGCTTTAGTAACACCACATACTATAATTTTAAGAGTTTAAAAGGCGTAAGATACTTTTCGTATTGACACTTATTTTAACTTATATAAAATAAATCCATGTTAAGGCTCTGTTGTTTGAGTAAGTCATAGATCAACTCAGACTGTTAATAAAATCGTTATTTCTTATGTATTAATTAACTACTGTATTGCCTTTCTGATCGAGTTTTTTAGGAAATTTCAACAGTCAATTATTTTAATTGTTTAAATAAGAGACAAAAATAAATAGTACTTCATTCTGATCATGATCATCATGTTCTTACAAGATGATTTCTTGGAGTTCCATTGAGAAGTCGTAACCAGTGGAGTCTAATCCGTTTCGGATAAAGACAAGTATCTACCTCAGACAATGGATGAATGGTTTCGCAGCCATTCATGGATTGATGAAAGTTAGACATTAACACCGTTGCATGCCAGCTCAGTGGTCCAGAGGCTGGGTGTTAGCTTGTGAGACCGATGGTCCTGAGTTTGGATTCCGCGTGAGGAGTCGTGAACGCATACTACTAAGGAGTCCCATACTAGGACGAAATGGCTGTCTATTGCTTCCAGGTTTTCGAAGGTGGTCTAGCTTAGATCAAATCATGAACCCAACTATTACTATTTTATTCGTAAACACTTATACACATTTCATAATGATAGACAGTTTTCTGTTTTATCTGTTGTATCAGTTTAACTAACCTGGTTTAATTAACTGTCATTGACTTGTTAAATTTGTTTTTTTTTTGTCAACTACCTGTTTTATTTATTTTAAGTAATCAAAGAACTATCTTTTAAAATAAATATTTTTTAATTTTTACATTTACAGTTAGTAATCTTACAATACAATGAAGTTATGGGTGCATTTCTTGTTCATTTACTTACTACAAATTTATGTATATGGGCTGATATATCAGTTGGAAAAATTGATAAAACATTATGGTATGGTAATCAAAAGAAATCAAGTGAACATACTTATAATAGAAGTGAAATGAATAATAATTTAACTTTATTAGATAATCGTACACATTTATATAATTTAGTTGATATTTCATTTTATTTATTACCAACTGTTAGTGAATATTGTTTATTAGCTGCAGCATTATTATATGAAATTATAATGAGAATTGGTCAACCAACATTTATTGAAATAGAAAGACCACATGATTTAAAAAAAGTAAGTCTTGAAAATATTTTCAATTAATTATGTAAGCTTACAATTTGATATGAATAATATTTTCATTTATATTGGATAATGAAACGAAAGAAACAAGAGGAAAAGATTTTGAGATAAGGTTGATAGTTTCACTGATAGATATTTTTTTAAGAATAAAATAATTTTAATAGTTGAGGTCATGAATCAATTGAAGGTAGATCAATATGGAAAACCTAGAAGAACTGGACGGCCGTTTGGTCTTATTGTGAGACTCCTCGACAGTACGCATCCAGGATCACATCTTGTGAGATTCGAACCCAGGATCTATCAATTCAGTGAAGTTAAACCAGGTCCGTTGTGAGATAGTAACTCACTAAAGACAATGGTGGATGTGTCGCTCAATTTCGTGGATCGGTTGAAGTTAGACATTAACACCGCTGGATGCCGATTCAGTGGTCTAGTGTTTAAGCGTTCGCGCGCGAGACTGATAGGTCCTTGGGTTGGAATCTCGCGAGGCGGGATCGTGGATGTACACTGCTGAGAAGTCCCGCATTAGGACGAAACAGCCGTCTAGTGCTTCTAGGTTTCCCATGATGGTCTAGCTTCAATTGACTCATGATCTCAACTATTAAAATTACTATAGTATCCACAAAACCACTACTCATTATAATGCAATAATTCACTCTGTAATATGTCACCATTAGTAGAAATTCTAAGTACAAATTTTACAGGTTGTTAATATTACGTAGTAACTTAATTGAGTTATTTAAGTTTCTAACATCGTTCATTGTCTAAGGAATAATTGAATAGTTTTATAAATCATTTAGATATTAAAATCATTACAAATTGGATTCAGTTAAGAAAATGGAATTGTGTTGACAAGTATGAATTCATTCCATAACTTAGGAGTTTTGTTATTTTTTTAATATGTAGTACTTTTACAAAAATCGCTTGTAGCCTGTTGTTTCAATCTGAAAAGAAACATCACATAAAGACGGCATAAAAATATCGTGTTTCCTAGTTTGTTAGAGTTTACATAAATTAAATTTGTCCATGACGTAAACTATCTAGGAAAAATAGATATGCACTCTCAAGCAGTCCATAATGTGTGGTTGTTAACTATTATCAGCTGATTAAAAAAGTGTACTCTCTTTGTAATCTAAGATACTGCTTCGAAAATATAGTTAACCTTTCAAGTTTGTTATTGATCCCAGCTGGTTACAATACAAATATATGCACAGAAATTCTGGAAGCTTAAGAAATGATTCATCCAATAAATATTAAATATTTCGATATACCGTCTAACGGTTGAGCAATGTAAGAAGAGATGGCCAACCATCAAATCATTGATACTAACTAGGAAATGGTGTAGAACTATACGAATAAATAACAACATAATAGCTTCTTTAAAACAGCCATATTTTGTGATAATCGGATAGTTCGTCAGTGACTTGAAAACAAATTTTATTGTTTCAGTGTTTTTAAGTTTTTAGCTTTCATATGATCAAAAAAGACAGTAAAAGTTCCATCATTAAAGCCTACAGCTAAGATAATCCGAAATCATTCATTCATTGTATTTTCATGCTTAATTACACACAACCTTCAGAATGATGAAATATTCTAACTTTATGGTAATTGTTTGTTAGTGTTTTTAGGCTTAAAATCATTTTAACGTCAATAAATATCAAATCGAGTATAAGTTATTTAGAAACAACTATAGTTCAAATGAATCTTACTTATGCAAGTTAAAAACTATTTGTATTTGGATATGTTAGACAACAGGAATTTATTCAGATCAATATGGAGATCAAGCAAAAATATTTCCCATTGGCATTTTTTTTTATATCTCAAACTGTCAAATACTATATAACTTATAGAGCTATTGATTTATTTATGAAAATGAATGCTACTGGCAAAATTTTCGGATTTGTAAACACGGCAATATCAGTAGAACTGAACTGTTTAAAAATCTTTTAGTAATAATATCATCAATGTAAGGTTGTTCAGATTGTTGAATTTCTTTGAAATCATGAACCAATCTGTTAGACAATCACTGAAATCTTGAAATTACTGGACAGCCGTTTTGTCTTAGCATGGAGCTCCGTAGAAGCTAACATCTACGACTCCACAGTCAGAGATCAAACCTAGGATGTTTGCTTCAGTGCGCTACCGCTTAACATCTAGATCATTGAATCAAGATCTATTAGTGTACAAGTCGAACTTGCCAAGAAGTCCTATACTAAGACGAACTGTCCATCTAGTACTTCCAGACTTTCAATGGTTATCTAACTTAAATCTGTTCGTGATTTAAAATCAATAATATTGTAAGACATTTTTTAATAAGAAAAATGTGGTAATGAATGCTGAGAAGTTCTGGAAAACTTGTACATCTCTATTCAACGATTAACTACATATTTTTTCGCAAAACTAATAGCCATCGTTTTTTCTTCAATCGTACTTAATTGAACCCAACAGTCAAAACGACTTTTATCGACGAATAAATATGGTAAAAATGAAAATTCTGATTTCTGTAATTTTGTATTAAACATTTATGTTTTTTATGTTGGTTTGTTCTCTGAGCTGGATGGTTTGGTCGTGGAGCTTTCATCGTCCTTCTGAACGACATCATCAGCACTGATGATGTCGTTCAGAAGGACGATGAAAGCTCCACGACCAAACCATCCAGCTCAGAGAACAAACCAACATAAAAATCACCCACCTGAGCTACAAATCTTCTCCACCATCTCAAACATTTATGTTTCCCAACAAAATATTCAACTGATATAAATGAAACAAACCAAGTGTTGATATTTACAATTTTATGGTTTTACCAATAAGTTAGTAATAAAATCACAAATGACATGACTATTAAACATGGTTAATTTCGTTTAATACTTTTTCATAATGTGAGTCAGATGATTGTATTTCCCATTGAATTTAATGTAAACATATACATAGTTACCACAAGAAAAAAAGAACAACTTGTACATTCGCTTTTTATATCTTGTGAGTCAAAGGAAAATGTTTCAATGATTACCAAGTATTAATCAAATTATGTTTTGTACATGTTAATATAATCACCTTTAATTACTAATTTCATTGGAATTTCACCATTCACAAACAAATTATCAACATAGAAACATTAACTGATTCCAATCGCTTAGAATTTAGATCATATGGCTTATTATAATTCTGTTTAACTTTAAATGTCAGTACAAAGAATAATATCAGGTGAAATTTAATGGTACACCAATTAAACAGAATTACATAAGGGAAACTTAAGGAATTTCAATAAAATTCACATTGGGGCTATTGATTATAAAACAGGTTAAAACTAATATTATTGTCATAACCTAATGTGTGTAGAGTGTGAAACGATTCAGAAAACTCTTATAATCAGTTCATTTTATCACTTCTAATTCATAGTCTTGGTTATCTCAAAACAATTCAAATAATCCATCATGTCATTGAAGTAAAATACGATGAATTTAGCAAAGTAAATTTTCCTTTCGTCGAAATCATTTACTTAAGCTATGCTCTCGTATTTAAGGTTGTTTGATAAATATTTCTGTGGAATGATAAGAAAGATTCCATCACAAGTGGCCCGAAATTTCAAATATTAAAAGGAGGTTGCATAGTGATCAGACGTCTAAAGAAGGATAGGAGTATTGAAAATAATTTTCAGATCAGAAATATGAGAGCTAATTGCTCACCTAACAGATAAGAAGAGGTGAAGAAAATTTATGAAGGTCATAATAATAAGTGCATTATAATCATGAAAAATTGTTAAAAGATTATAATAACTGAATAAGGTTTAAAAAGTACAGAATCACTATAAAAACAAAATTAAACGTTAACATACTGAAGAATGAATTTAAGGCCAATGAAGTATGAAAGGTTGGTCGTAATGTATTTGCACGAAGAGCCCGGGCTTGAAATGTAAGGCTGGCAACGACTCAGCAGAGCATAAGCTTTTGACTGGACATCTTTTTGATCCAATTATTTTGGCTGTATAGATTACGTTAAAGGACGAATCTTTTAGAGCAATGTACCCAGAATCGATAAGGTGCTCCAAAATTAAGCGAGGGATAACTTTGCACTCTTTTTTTAAAAGTCGCTCTCAGTAACGTTCTGAGACGTGTCTGGAAAGTAATCGCTTTGTGCGGCCATTTCAATCCACTCCGCATGTACATCTATAGATGCATACCGATGTGGCCCAAAGAAGAAGTTTATCCGTGACACATCCCTGAATAATAGGCTGGCATGAGAAGACAATGCGAAGTTTTTCCGTATGGGTTTTATTTAGAGATTTTGAAATCCGTTTATTCAAAATTTCGGCAGCTGCATATCATTTAAATTTGATATTCATACAAAAAGTTTCCGGTTGAACAGTCGGTGCTTTTTCAGGATTTATCAAACAGCTATAAATACGAACGTAAAGCTTAAGTAATAAAATCTCCCTCACTAAATTCTCCTTATTTTTATTTCAAGTCAAAATATTTATTGATTTACTGTATGTCGTCGGTAATTGTTAGATCTTTGAACTATTATGACTAGTGAAGCACGCAATTAAAGAACAGTTGGACCCATAAATTATTTAACAATTCATCTCTAAAATTTTAAATGGATTTTAAATATATTTAAGCATAGTTTACAATATTTAAAAGAAGGCGAATGCAGCATAAGTCGGAACTACTCAAATTATACTATACGAATTATACTATTTTTCACTACGAGTTTGTTTAATAATGATCTGTCTGTCAGCTAACAAACAGATTTACTATAATTTTGTCTTTTTTTTGATCGGGAATGATAAATGTTCACTAGCGAAGAAACTGCTACGTTTCAGCTCTGTATTAAACAAAATTTTCATGTCGATTAGTTGCTTACAACTTTACAGTTAAATATGTGTGTTTATTTCCCTTATTTTAATAGGATCACAAGATACTTCGAGATTGTCGAGGTTGGAGTACAAGTTCTGGAGCATGGTTTGGTATAATTACAGTACTTATAATTATTGCATTAACAACATTAACAGTATCTGCACCGAATCACATTGATTTAAAGCAAAATTTATGGAAATGTATTGTTGTTTTAGCTGAAGAAGCTATATTAAGCCTTTTTGGGATATTATTTGTATTAATGGCATTTTATCAAACAAGACGCTTAAAATTTAGCATTGCTACAAGACAAAGTCGTGTTGATGAATTTCTTTTATATACAGCTTTCTTTTTTGCTGCAAATTATACAATAACAACAATTATATTAGCTGCTGATTTAGAAGCAAAAGGAAATGGTATACCTAACACGGTATGTTTTTTAGTCTTTTTCTAGGTTTTTAATCTCCTTTATATATTGTGTTATTGTATCCAACAGTTTATTTGTCTGTACATTTGCTATTTTTGTATATTTTGCTCTCATTATATCATTAACTGACAAAAGTAATCACTGCTAGATCTCCATACGAGAGTTATTATTATTAGTGGCTTTATTCAATATTATATTTTTGGCACAATATAAAATCCTCAGCACAATGTATTTCAACAAGTTTCCTTTTCTTATTTTATGATCAATCTTTGCGATAAATATTAAATGGTCCCCGGTTAGATGTTAGCAGTTCAGGAATCGATATATGAATAATGTACATTCTTTTTGATACATATTGCCATCCACCACGATGTCTCTAGTTGAGCTCTTTTGTAACTTGTACAGCAACATATCGTAAACTTTTCACAAACTCACCTGAATAGTTTATGTGACTAATAGGCATAATGATGTGTTAAAACAAATAAGGAAACAGATAACTTGTTGAAATACCTAGATGGCAAGATCAGGTAGACCACATACACAAGCAGGCCACCTTGTGAGTTCAATAAATTACACTGATTAAATTCAGTAATTAAAGATAGATGTTATGAAAACCTTCTGTATATATCGATTTCATTGTTGAAATGAAGTATAGATTTTTAGCATAACATTTGATAAATCAGAAACGGTTGTGTGGAGATTTTAGAATTTTCATAGTTGAAATCATGAGTCAGTTGAAGCTAGACCACCATAGAAAACTTGGAAGCACTGGTGAACGGTTGCTCAATTTCGTGGATTGGTTGAACTTAGACATTAACACCGTTGGATGACGGCTCACTGGTCTATCGGTTAAGTGCTCTTGCGCGAGATTGGTAGATCCTGGGTTAGAATCTCGTGAGGCGGGATCGCGGATGCGCACTGCTGAGGAGTCCCATAATAGGACGAAACGGCCGTCCAGTGTTTCCAGGTTTTCCATGGTAGTCTAGCTTCAATTGACTCATGCTTTCAACTATAAAAATAACATTTAATAATTATATTCAATGGTCATAGTTAATACATTAAATGATCTAACCAAATAATAATCTATACATTCTATCACAAGATTCTAATGCATAGTAATGGTCTGATTTTTTTACGTTTGGTTTAATTAACTTTACAATTTTATTCTCTACGTTGTTATACAAGATTGTCATTTATTTCCTTTTTTTCAAAAACCAAAAAAAGTTACTAATATCGTTACATGTTATAAAATCTTTTTTAAAGTGGATCAACTACGAATTATTCCTTTTATTCGATGTCTGTTGTTTAAAAAATAATGGTATGTACTAAAATCCATTTCTATTCATTATTAGAATTTTAGATAACGAAAAAACAATAAAAAAGTAATCTATTAATAACCACATAATATATTTTGAGTTAATAATTGATTATCAGAAGGATGTTTTGTGGAGATTTTAGTAATTTTATATAGTTGAAATCATGAGTCGATTGAAGCTAGACTACCATGGAAAACCAGTGGAGTTCAACCAGGTCTGTTGAGAGATATCGATTCACTGAAGACATTGGTGAATGATTGCTCAATTTCATGGATTGGTTGAAGTTAAACATTAACATCGTTGGATGACGGCTCAGTGGTCTATCGGTTAAGCGCTCGCGCGCGAGACTGATAGGTCCTGGGTTTTAATCTCTCGAGGCGGGATCGTGGATGCGCACTGCTAAGGAGTTCCACAATAGGACGAAACGGCCGTCCAATGCTTTCAAGTTTTCGATGGTGATCTAGCTTCAATTGACTCTTAATTTTAACTATATAATAATTGATTAGTTTAAAAAAAGGATAATAAGTTTTTATTATCACAGTCTAGTATGTTGGATGATACTGGCAGCCTGCTTAAACATCTGAGTTACCTGTTCTTGTCATCTAGATATTTCAACAAGTTATCTAATTTTAGTTTGTTTTAATACATCATTATGACTATTAATTGAACAACCCAATTCCGGTGTGTTTCTGAAAAGTGTACAGCCTTTCGCATTCAAGGTTACAAAAGACATAATGAGAGATATAGTTGTCACTAACAATATGTAGAGAAAAGAGTGTACATTATTCATATGTCGATTAACTGGACTGCTAAATTGTAACTGGCAATCACTCAATATTTATCGTCAGGATCGATGAAGAAGAAAGAAACGGAGACTTGTTGAAATACATTGTACTGAGAAATCCATATTGTACTAAAAATATAGTATTCAATAAAGCTACTACTAATAATAATAATAATATTAATGCAATGAATTATTTAGTATAAAGGTGGTAAAGAAAATTCCAATGATTAAATTTTGAATTATCAAAAACTTGATGGTAACAAAATTTATGTACTGAACAGTAATGTTCACTTTAAAAGTAGAACTATTTATTAATGGTATAAAATATTTTATGTTCTTTTGTGATTATCGGCTTTATGATCTTTCACTAAATAATTCAGAAAACATAATTGTACGCACACTACTGAGCTAGTTCAAAGTGTTTACAGGCAAATTTTAATTGAATACAGAGAGAATCAGTCATTATTGATAAAACAGAAAAAAACTGTCATCTTGTATAAAGAATTAAATGAAGCTGAAAATGTGGGTAAGGTGATCTAGAAAAAGACCACGTTATCGTAAAGTTTGAAGTTTGTGTTATTTATCCCTTGGCAATGACAATGACTTACACTTCTGGGATATCCCAAACTAGCAAGGAGGATTTCTTCACTATTTCTTGACTTTTAAGGGGTTCCCAGTGGTGTTCATAATAACAGACCTCAAAGGAACACTTGACCTATGCATATGTGATAAAATAATTAATAGTAAGTGTATCGCTCATATAAATTCGATGTTTAAAAGTGAAATCTATGGCGGATATGTCTCGAATATATTTGTCATAGGATCACATGTTATTTTATACTTTTCAAGAAAGAAAATCATTAAAACATCCAATTCTTGTTAATCACACTGATCAGCTAGAGACTCTTGGATGGTTTAATGGAATAGTATCACCTATCAGGCACACGTTGGGACGATAAATGTTAGGGTAGATAGGCCTTTTAGATATTGTTCTGACATGAGGAGCAGATCTATCAATTAAAAGTAATTTAAAAAGAAAAGTTTACGGATGATTTAAAATGGATTTATACCACTAGAGTACGAAAAACGTAATGGGAAACTTGGTTCTAGAGTAGTGGCATTATGGTCTATAGAAGAACAGTTGTACGGGCTGTTTAAAAAAGCTGAGTAAGTGGATATCCTGCGAAGTTTATTACCGAGTTCACTACCCCAAGAAGGAGAAAAAGATTTTCATCTCAAGAAAATGGAACCACTGATTATGATACTAAACTTGAAAGAAATACATGTAACAAAGTAGTAATCCATAGATTATACAGTACAGTTTTAGAAACATAGGAATGATGGAATCTAGAATCAATTTTTTTCGCGAATTCGATGATGAGACTAAGGCCTCATCGACATTTCTTTCTCGATTTATCGCTTCAACCGGTCCTACAAAGAAAGTTGCATTGCCAGACGTTCAAAAAGTTTACTTTTCCGTGTTCATAAACACCTATAAGACCTACTAATTAAAGATTTATTTTTGGTCTATCAATATCTCTGTTATGCCCATCCACTTCAAAAGAACCGTACAATCATCATAATTTAATAGTCCTCAGTTGTCTATCGAGTTCCTGAATCCTTTAAGTGTCAGCACAAATTTTAATATACATGAACTTTGTATCAGAAAGGAACAACCTCGAACTCCTTTTCTACTTTGATAGATGTAATAGTCATTTATGCCACTAAGTGACCCAATAGCGCTAATAAGTACAAACTCACCTTCTCAGTGGTTTTCACAATCAAACCTAAATTAGTTTTGATTAATCATTACGTCACCACACATTTGAGCCTTTTATTTAGCACACACTCCACATTTATTATTTTTCCTACTTAGTTTTGATAATTTCTCGCTATACTTTGTCGCTGATGGAACAATTGATTTGATAATTGATTATGATTGTTTATCACGTCCAAGATCATTATTATTTATTAATATTATCATTTTCTCAGTGTCGTTTGACCTGCAAGATGATACTTCTTAACATTTAGAAACTTGGATTTATAAGCTCAATTATCAATTCGGACATATAACTGTAAAACCCAATGTTAATTTATCGAAAACAGTATCCTTCGTTCGTATATTTTTGTTTCAAGAGTTTCAAGGGAGATAAAGCACTAAAGAGAAACATCAACTAATGTCTGCCAGATATTAAAAATATATTCTTCAATAGTTTTATGAATAGTTTCCTGTCTTCTTTTTTATGTGTTCGAAATATCTTCCTAACGAACAGGTCTAGAGAGCATGATAGAATGTAATATTGTAGTGAACGAGAACACAAGTGGAGACAATTGAATGTATTTGAATACAAATTTACAGAACGTCTTAGAAAAATCTGATTACCATACAGTAAATACTTCATTTGCAAAATATCAATCAATTGTCTCAGACTTCATGGTTCCTTTATTTCAATATCGATCACTCTCTATTCTGGTTCTCTTCTCTTTGGTCTTCTCAACCTTCTACCTCAAGGCATTCCACGGTCGATTTAATATTTTGTTATTGTACTTTAAAATAAAAATTGACTAATTTTGTCTCAATAAATATACAATAATCATTACTTTTAGTAAATGTTAGAACAAATTTAACCTAACAATGCAACTGTGACCATCAAAATCTCAATTTGAAAGGCTTTGCTTTTTGACCGTAAGACAGATATTTTTAGGTAGTTTACTTTTTTTTTTAAAACAATGAACTGATTGAATAAATAGATTAAAAATATATTTTAAACATAAAATCATTCAAGCAATTCGATATAAATATTCTCTCTATATTCCTTTTTGACAAGTGTATTCATACTAAACATATAACGGAATCTAATGAAGTGTATCTATAAAGGCGGCATGGTAGGCAACCTACTGATTTTGATAACACTATTTAAAAAATATTTTTTAAAAATTCCACACATAAAAATGATAAAATAGTTACCCTTGAAATAACATTTCTTAATCAGTAAAAAAATATCTAATTAATGATTATGTTAATCATGAGTAAATTGAAAACCTGAAAGCACTGGACGGCCTATTCGTCCTATTGTGTGGTCGTGGATGCGCACTGCTGATGAGTCGTCCCACAATAGGACGAGACGGCCGTCCAGTTCTTCCAGGTTTTTCATGATGGTCCAGCTTCAAATGACTCATGATTTCAACTATGAAAATACTGAAATCTCCACAAAACCCTTTCTGATAATTATGTTAATGTTTGATTGAAATAATTCAAAGATGAAATATGTTTTAATAATTAAAATATTTGTAAACTTTGTTTAATATTTTGATTAATTAAAAATTTAAAACAAATGGTTTCATTAAAACAAAACAAAAAAAATTAACTAGATAAAAAATAAAAAACACTATTTTTTTCTTATTATTTAGGATAAATATGTTTTTCTCTACTTTTTCATCACATGATCTGTTAACTAATTGAATGTTTATAATAATCAGTGTCAGAAGGGTTTTTTGTGGAGATTTAGTACTTCCATAGTTGAAAGCGTGAGTCAGCCGAAGCTAGACCACTATGGAAAACCTGTAAGCACTAGTAGGTCCTAGGTTCGAATCTCGTGGATTGCAATCGTGGATGCGCTCTGCTGAAGAGTCCCACAATAGGATGAAACGGCTGTTCAGTGCTTCCAGGTTTCCCACGGTGGTCTAGCTTCAATTGACTCATGCTTTCAACTATGAAAATAACCAGTGTATTAATTAAGTTTATTTTTATGTATAGGTTGAATTGATGTGTCGAATAAAGTTAGACCATTTTGGAAAATCTGGAATCACTGAAAAGTCATTATGCTCTAGTATGAGACTCCTCAGTAATAAGCTATCACAGTCTCGATTGATAGATTTCAACGCACCAACTTCAGCTTCGCACATCAAACGCTTAACCTCTAGATTACTGAGCTGACTGTCACCTAACGTTTTTAATGTCTTAATTCAACTAATCCACGAAATCGTGTCACCGTCTACCATTTTATTTATTTGTTAACATATGAATCGATAAATAAATGAATACACGTCAAAATGTAGTAAGATATAAATTACTAACGCTTCTTTTAAGACTAATTATTTTAGAAAATGTAGATCAAAAACAAATATTTTAGTCGTAATAACTTATTTCTTTTTACTCCAGTCATATTTTAATCGATTGTCGTGATCTTTAATTGTACTGAAACTGTAAAGAACTATTACTGAATTATTTTTAATCTTCTAAGGGCAGTTTAAACAAACTTCTTTATCATGAAGAGAATATTTAAAATCAATAATATAAAGTTGCTTTTCATTAGATCTTCACCATAGAAACAGATACAGGATATAAAAAGTTACTCACCTTAGTCTCACTTTCTACAGTTGGTATAATAATTTTGAGGTCTCTTGATTTGTGCCAAAATATATTTTTGAAATGGCAAACATGTCATACTGTACTAAATTATTACGTTGATCCTAAAAAAATGTGGGTTTTTTTTGGTAATCTCACTGTTCGGGTGGAAACATGAAATATTAATGTTATATTGATACTGATTGACTAGTTTGTATGCAATATAGTTATAAACAAAAATTAAGATTTCATGGAGTTTAGCACGAAAACTCTAGGTTATGCAGTTTGCTATATCATGATCATTTATGCAAAATAAGCTTAAATCTGGTTTATTTTCTCCTACAATGATATATTAGGGAGAGTAATTAACTGATGACATTCTATTTGTTGTTCCCTGTAACAAATCATATATTAAAAAAATATATTACTTCATTAAGGTTGCTGCTCATTATATTCCGTTGATTACAGACTAAAATGACGTTATTCATTGAAGTTTGCATGAAACACAAGCTTACAAGTCTTAGATACTTCATGATTTTTAGTATACTTATGTATTTTTAACTTCCTTAATGTTGCAGTATAATACAGCTTTTTAAAATAATGTGATTTATTATTTATCTAGAAAGCACTAAAACCCATTTTTATACATTATCAGTAATAGCTTACTTTAAACCAGATGTAATTCCGGTATCATATTTTTATGTCTAATCAAAATTATTTGAAGTATCTTGTGTAGTTACTCAACAAACGTAAGAGCTACTTTAACAATCATGAAAGTAGACAATAAATAAATACATTTTTAACTGTTGATCTGCATAACTAAATTTAATTTTATCTTTTTAATTTAGAATTTGAACCTTTTTAATACTCTGTGAACTGATGATTTCTTCTATGTATTATATGCATTTATATCCATTTCAGAGTGGTAGTGAGAAGCATTTACTAATTGGTCGTTGTTTAGTCGATGCTTTTGAATTTGTTCAGATGGTTTTACAAACATACTTTGTGCAAGATAGTTTTTATCGATGTAGTGATAGAATAGAACAGCAAATTGTCAAACCCGGAAGACAATCGATTGTTGCATTGCTTGGAATAAATTTAGCTTTATGGATTCAAAAAAGCTTTCAGGCAAGTAATTTTATATGAAACGAGTAACAAGTAAAATTTTGTAATTCATTCGCCTATCAATATATCAGTCACAATTTTTACAGTAGTACACACGAAGTTCAACGTCAACAAGGAAACATCAAGAGCTTTGTATATCTTAATAAAAATTTTATATATATATATATATATATATATATATATATATATATATAGTATACGTTTCCTAATGCAAATCCTCTCAAAATGGAAACCTTATTCCACATTGATACTCTGACTTATTTTATCAAACGAGGTCCAGTTAGTGCTGATCAATTTTCATTTCGTCCAAGATCAAAATGTCAGTTGTTCGAAAATATTAGAATAATATTGATGGAAACTTGTTACAAGTGTTTAGGAACATTATTCATAATACTATCGAAATAAAATTACTTTTAGTGGGCTTTTGATTTAATTATTATTCACTTGCCAGTCTATGATAATGCTCAAATATTTATAGCCGCAACTTAATTAACCAAAAGTCGTTCAATTCTTACCTTACTTATTCAGGTACTTTTGTTCATACACTATTTGATTTTAGCACAACATTCTTTCACTAAGTGATTATTTAATTTAATAGGGATACTTCTTCCATTACTTAGCCTGTAGATCTCACTCATTTAAATCGAGAGCTTAATCAATGCCCTCTCTTTAGTCATTGAACTCCATAGTTTCTTCTGAAAAGACTATTCACTATTATTGTCTTTACACGATTAGTAATCTAACTAGTGATAAGAGGAATAATCTATATATTAATAATAGCTTTGATGCTGGTAGAAATAAACGATTTTGTTGTAGAAACATTCATGAAGAAAAAGAATCCGGTTTGTAAGAACGAATAAGTAGTAAAATCAGAATTTAAACTGATATGCAAACCAAACCACATTGATAAAGTGATGGTCATATACCCTAGATCGATCACTGAATGCTATTCATTATTGTACAAAGAATACTGTATACGACTAAACCTACTGATACACTGATCACTTAGTGTAGCATGTCGGCATTCATAACCACGTTTTGATATACATATGAAGTGCTGCTTATTTATTGTATAAATTCAAGCTGAATCCAGTGACTGAAACAACATTCCTTAAAACTTTGAATATATTGGACAGAATTAAACGATTATCTAACCATTTACTGAATTTTAAAGGACTATCGCTCTCAAAAATCTTTGGTATTAGATTTAATTTCGATAAGAAAAATTTTAAATCAGTTTTTGTATAATTTCTTGGCATATGTTAAGCAATGAAAATTTTACAAACTGCCATTTGACCTTAGTTTGAATAACTTTTTCGAAAATTATGTAAATTATGTTAGTTACCACTAGAAAAAGACTCATTGTCAAAAGTAAATAAATGATTCTCAACTTCTACAATTCACAAGTACCATTTTAGTGTATCTGAAGAGCCCTTAAAAAGTTTATTGATTATTCAGGTCAGTAGTAAGTGGCTAGAATGATTCTTAATGGACGTAGTGAAAAATGCTTGATCACGTCAATGCCAAGCAAATTTATTTTCTTAAATTATATTGTAAACAAGAAAATTTTTGGGTTAGTATCGCTTATTTGTTTACTTATTTTAAATGAGTTTAATCATGAAGTAATATTGAAAAGGATGATAGTAAAAATCAAAGTACAAGAAACATTTATTTGGTCCCCATATAAGAATCTTCAATGGCTCACGTGTTAACTTCACACGAAATCGAACTCGAGGCCTTCATATTTGACAATGAGCAGTGTTTTATTTAACCAGCAGATAAGAATCCAAAATCTACACTTTTTAATTTATTGTTATCTGCCTAATTCTGACCATAGCCTGATGTTATTAGAATGTAACTGTAATGTTAAAGGGATGTATTCACTGATTAGATGATTTATCTTTTTCGGCAAGTTTAAATGTACAAGAGTTTAAATTTATGAGCTCAGATTAAACCATACTTTTGCGCCCCGTAGTTTGTACGTTAAGTTACGCAAAATAATATTTAAACCAAATTAGTAGAAGAAAGGTACTGATAGTTATGAATCAAAGATAGCCTGTTTGTCTCATTGTAACAATGAATAACTTATTTAAATAGTGTATCGTTTCAAGATTCTACAAAAGAGAAAAGTCTTTAAGAAGATATAAAGTAAATGTATGGAGCACAACTGTTAAACTAAGTGAATATAATGAGATAAATATTTACGAAAAAGGAAAAAAACCCTATAAACAGCAGTATCTCGTATTCCAATAAGTGAAATAAGTTATTGCGATTATTAGGTCAGATTAGCTAAAGATTTAACTTTTATTACAAACGGTAGTACTTATTTCGGCACTCTTTTAGATAGAGTATATAATATTTATTAAACTTTTTGAGATGCCACATTTTTAGTCGATTCACCAAAAATTTATTTGCGAAGAATGTTTGACGTCAGTATCATTATTAAAAACTTGCTTAAACAATCATTTCGAAGGCTTGAACTGACACATTGTGTACTGCTATTCTCTATGTTTACTTGATGGCACAATCCCTAGTAGCGAATATTTGTTACTAAGGTTTGATCCGTATATATTCCTCTTAAGATTAGGTCAATAATATCTGTTACAGACAGGAACTGTTAAATGCCCTCATTGTAATTGTTTTTGTTATGATGATAGAAAGGTAACGTGGACCAGTTTTGTAACCTGTTTCTCACTTTCTGTAGACAGACAATTCTGAAATTTTATTGTATTATTTGTTATTTTAAAACGTCGTGATTGCTTTCACAAGTGGTAGCTTGCTTAGTAATGTGAATGAATCACTTCAGAACCTAAGAACTCTTATATAGGTGATAAGAAGTGAGAATCAATTTCGTTTGCTGATTGCAAAGTTAATGATAATTTCTTTCTTTGATAATCAAAATCGACAAACCCGCTTAGGGTCATGTTTAGTCGTATCGTGTTGAACAAAAAGAATTTGACAAAAGACATCCCACCGGTCCATCAATCAAATCAAAACAAATGACTAAAATTTTGCAGCACCAGTTAATCACCGATACTGTTTAAAAATCGTTCGTTGTCAGTCTTTTGCATGCTTCAATGCTTATGTTTAAATTAGCCTAAAAATAATTGACAAGCACCCGTCAAGTATTTTGTGAGACGACCTATCATGATATAAATCTTTCAGCAATACTATCTCACAATGGGATTTCGTAGTTTTGAAGCATTCAGATACTTCTTCATTTACTTACACAACGACATTCTTTATATCAGTATACAATAAGATCGATATGGTAAACATTCATTTCAAAGAAACCTGAATATTTTTAGCTTTCTGATATTCATTTAGACATCAACCTAATTCAGTTTTATTTTATTTCAGCTTAAAAGTGCAGATATCTTATTCATGTTGGAAACAAACCGTGGCACTTATGGTTGGATTTTATTTGTTGTAACAATGCCAATTAGTTTATTCTATAGATATCATTGTACAGTATGTTTATCACAATGTTTCAATAAGTTATACGAAGATGAGGTAAATTACAATTATTTATCTGCCATTATGATTAATTTAAAAAGATAAATTTGATGTGATTTCAATCCGTTTGATGATTGGAAATTAAATATTTTCTGACTGTTCAAATAATGAAGTGACTTTCATTTCCTATTTGTTTTAATTAGCCGATAATATTTATAAAACGTAGTATTTACATAATTCCCTTTATGAGAAAAAGATTATTCAACTCTAACAGATATAGATTAGTTGTATGTGAATTTACTGAGCAACCTTTTCTCAGTGTTTGATAAAAGTATCATGCCAATCATTTTCAGGAATTTTCCTGTTCAATTAGTGGGTGAATGCTGCGAATTAATGAATAATTTTCACTGAGGAACACATTTCAAGCTCTAACTCTCACTTTACTTTCTTTGTTCATGCAATGACGTGTTCACAAAAGACATGTGTAGACAGCCCTTAATAACCGGAGTAAAATCCTTAGCAAAAAATCAAGTTCTTATACATAGCACACAACCATTAAATGAACGGAGAAATGCTTGAAAATGGAGGGTATTTTAGCTTCTTTGAATATTTAGGAAAGGATGTGTAACCTTACGCAACGCAATACTAATTAGCGTAAGTGTCAATTAAAGTAAATGTAGGTTAAAATGGTTCCCCTCTTTGTATATCTTATGATATTGATATCTTTTGTTACTTTATTCTTATGAATGAAGTCTAGATTAAAAAGCTTTAGAGATGAAGATGGTCTCTATAGACAAATAAGTTGTGTCTCTATGGGATCTCAATCGAGTCCTCTTCTAACAGACCGTTTTTGATGACCAACCTGGAGAATACCATCATTTGATCAACGATTGGTAGAGTTTATTACTATAGGAGATATATGGATGACACTTTTATCATCCGTGAAGAAAACACTAAATATTACAAGAGTTAAATGATTATCACCACTCGGTTGCATTCCTATTATAAGAGGGGTTGTACTTGGAATTGTACGTTCTTAATGTTCTATTAAAACAAAGATTTAATTAGTCTGTACAATGACCATCATACAGAAAGACAATCTAGAACGGGTAGTAAATGAAATTCCAAAGTTGGATGCCGATGAGTAGAAATGGAAATTTAATCCATCTTCTATACTTAAGAACCAGATGAATGTGCAACGAAGACGAACTTGATGATGAACTGAATATAATCCGACCAATACTTCTAGGGGATGGCCTCACGCTTAAGTTCATTGACAGTAATCTGAAACAGAAATTTCAAGATGTTTTAGCAAGCAGAACTTGAATTGTTTTCTTCATAATGAATCTCACTCAGGGACGTATCAGGTATTAGCTTTCACTTTGGACCACCTCACTATGGATCTATCAGTTTATTTGCTCTTGTGAAGCAGGTTTTATTGAACAAATTAAGCTTGAACTAGGTAAACGGATGTTTGAGCACTACTCTATATGCCCATCTAGAAAGAAATTCAAGTCGATCGACATGCCAATCTTTGAAAGCACGACCAACTTAGGTCACAGCCCACTACGCGAACCGTCGTTTGAAATCCTCTACAAACTAAAAAGAACTGTCTCAAAAAAACATTTGGATGAGGGATCTGTGCACAGACGATGCTCTAGCAATTCACTATTTTAAAGCTAAACTCTCTGTATAGTATAGTCATTTTCAATCCCTTATTCTAGTCTTAGCACCCACTTATTATATTCTCTTCCTTTATTAAGTAGACAGTTATGTTTATCTTTTATTCTGTGGATTGTTACCTCTTATGGCTTCCATAACTGTTTCCTGAGCTATTGATGACTGTTGATTATTTTGCTAAATGATGCTACTTCTATTTTATTCAGTACTTGAAAGCTTTAATTACATCGAAATAACATTCTTCGATTTATAAATTATTGTTTTGAAAACTTGAAATATTTTTGATAATTTTGGCTTTGTTATGCAATATCGCTTAATTTTTATTGACTTCCACTTGAATAAGTCTGACTATCTTTTGTGAATCTCCTCTGTTTTTTAAGATAGATTACTACAGGTAAACGTTACCCGTAAACATGATTGCGTAGCTCCAGAAAATGATATCATTTAAAAGAAAATCTTCATCTCAGAAACGTCTTTACTCTTTTTAAATTATGTCCTGTTCTGAACAGATTTTACTGCTTCCAAACATATGATATGAAGCTTAAAGATTATCAGTACTTCGCCAATCGATGAAGAATCTATCTATAAAAAACCTACCTGTCGTATGTACTATTTTAACAGGACATACTTTGGATTTGACCAAAACTACATCCTTCATATAAACTTGAAATGTATCAGCAGTATCTGCAACGCTTGCAATATATGGAAATAACTATGTTACTAGAGGTAGTTTGTTGAAATGAATTCGCAAACGCCCTGAAAAGTTAAACCGCTCTTCTTCATATGACCTCAGTATTTAATTATTCTGAGTTCCGTTTGCAAACAATTCGACTTGTTGTAATGTTTTATCGGCTTGAACGTGACTATCGAACTAGGTTAATCAGTTCAAATAATCCGCACTCATAAAAGCATCATAAATATATCAGTGCTGTGTTTAATAAGCCTTTTTTAAAGAAATAACACAACTACTTATTTTATTATCGGAAGGGGTTTTGTGGAGATTGAATATTTAGTACTTATTTTCATTCCGAACTTAAAAAATGCTTTGGTATGATTGGTTTTCGGTAAAAAGCCACAATTGATCTTATAAAATTTATCAAAAAGGCCAATAAATGCATACCTTATTCTAATACTGTGTATATATTACAAATTCCTACGTATAGTCAAATGTTTGACAGTTAGTTCAATACTGAATTCCCTATAACGTTTTAAAGATCACCATTTTTTAAAGCTTATAAAATATTTGTTTTGACTGGTCCTTTTTGTTACCGTTTTTGCAGACACACCGATTTGAAGAAATGTGGCGACACCAAGTTGATCCATTTACTGATATTCTTGTTCGGTCAACCGATTCGTTTTCTGAATATGAACAAGCTAAGACATCTCTTAAACCCACCAGTGAAGTACAAGTCACCATCGAAAATGATGACAGACAAAACAGAAAATTAGCTGTTTTTTCAAAAACAAAACCTTGGAGAACATTTGACTTAACAGACGAAACTGAGAATGATGGGAAAGCAACCTTAATGGGTCAAAATCATCACGTCCATAATAAATTACAAGTGAATAAAAACGGTCATGATGAAAACATCCTAATGGGTAACTCTATTCAAGACGATGAAAATTACCTAAAACCAAATAAACAATTATTCGACTCAGAAATACTTACAGAAAGTCAAGATCAAGATAATTTACGATGTGATAGTAATGTATCAGCCCATGATGATGAGGATAAATCTCCAAAAGCAAGTAAAACCCCTGAAATTTGTTTATCCGACACCAGTGCAGTTATTACACAGAAAAATGATGATCACTTAACTAAAGATCGATTAACCTCAGCACGAAACAGTTACACGTGCTTAGCAATGCGTAGATATTCTCTAGTAATCTTACCTTCAGATCAGTACTCTAGTAAGAACGAGGAGTTTAACGCAGTAACTATTGACAGCAAAACGTTTGACAAAAATCTACAGGACCACTTGTCTGGAGTTAGACAAACTCCTGAGCGCAGGCAGGTTAGACGTCGTAGGACATTAAAGAATCTTGAAACTGCAAAGCACAGAGTTCTTGCAGCAGAATTGGCTCATCGGATGGTTATTGAACGAACTAGTGGAGCATCTCCTTCTACATATTTTGTCGATGCCAACATATCCAACCTTGACAATAACAATCAGTTTTACCATGAACTAAAAAACTCATTGTTATTCTCAACTAGGCCTTCAGATGCTGCCGAAAATTCTCCTAAACTTACATGCGTACAAAGTTCAGCGAATGAATTTCGTATAGCTAAAGCTGTCACTGAGACAGCAGCAATAACAATTGCTCCAGTTGAGTCGAAAATTGCAGCTAACATACCACTAATAACTTTTAATCAATACCCAGATCCATTAAACAAACAAAGTGACATCAGCCATAAAAGTCACTTGTCAGTGTTGCAATTTCATCATAGACGAAGTGCTGCAAACATTAATCGTGTTATGGATGAATTAAAAAATGAGGATGAATTTCAAAAACGCTTACACAAACGAAGTTCATTTAAAGAAGGAAATTGGCCATCGAAAATTGGATTTCATAAATCCTTCAAAAGTCATTTTACTAAATCTTCATCACCTGAATCAAACCTTGCTCAAAAGCATTTAAAACCTGAACACAGTATATCTAATGAAAAATCTAATACTTGTCCAATAATTACTACTTCTGATCAAACAAATGATAAAAATTCAATCAATCTAACTCTGAGTTCAAATCCTGAAGTACCTATATGTGACCTAAAATTAACTAAAGGTGAATAGTAACTTATTTTTACTCTACTTTAATTTTTTACCTCCTTTTATCATTGTTTTATTTTATTGTCCATTAAATTCGTGATTTTTAGTCAGAACTTTAGAAATCTACTACTTTTTACATTGATTTCATTCAGCTTATTATTTCATACAAAAAAGATCCGGAGGAAACTCAGGTATTTTAATTATATTGAATAGTAGATAATCGCTAGTGTATATCATAACCATCTTTATTACTCTTATCCATATCATTGTACAAATATGCATATATCAAAAAATTTTCTCACATTTATCTGATTCATTTTTTTCCTCTGTTTCAAAAATAAAATAAATATATATTCGATTCAGAAAACACTTAGCTGCATGATAATAATGACGATAGTAAGAGCTCAGATTCGTTTGCTTTGGTTGTTTGAATCTTCGCATTGAGGTTAACGATTTCAAATGATCAGTCCTTTTTGACGTATGTGAATCCTGTGAAAATTGCCTCGATATTATCATTGAGTCACAAGCACTTTTTGAACAGAGATGAATAGTGTGTAGCAGTAGAATGCCGGACCATTGTTTTATTCTATTTTAGATTCATCAGGTGGATGCGCTAATCAGTTATCATTTCTAATTAACACCTTTCGTAAGACTATTATTTGGAGAATTACAATGCTTATTAAAGTTAACTTTTAAACATATATTGCCTTTAGCTTGACACAATTATATCTATTTTGGATATGTTGGGTTAGAAAGATTAAAGAACATTGAAAATGTGTCATAGTTCATAGTTATAAATGAACAGTACACACGTGCTGTATTTGAAAACAATAAAACTCTTAATGTCAACACTATTTAGGATAATTAGATAGTTTGCATGACAAAGAATAATCAAGTATTATTATAATTATTTGTTTTTGCAAATATAATTAATCTAAAAAACTTTGTGTTTATTACTATTTCACATAAGACCACTTTACGAAACACACTTTTCACTTCTCAGCCTGAATTTTTAAAGAAACGATAAAACTAAATATTGTTGAAATCTTGAGTCAATTGAAGCTAGACCACCATGGAAAACCTGAAAGCACTGAACGACCGTTTCATCCCTTCGTAGGTCTCATCAGAAGTGCGCACCCACGATCCCACCTCTCGAGATTCGAACCCAGGACTTATCAGTCTCCATTAGGTATTTTCTGGAGTTCTAGTGAGAAGCAGTAACCAGTGGAGTTCAACTAGGTCTGTTGTAAGATATCAACTCACTGAAGACAATGGTGAGTGGTTCCTCAATTTCATGGATTGGTTGAAGTTAGACATATAATTCCCATTTAAACATTAAAATTAAAAACACGAAGATTAAAATACTAGATTACGTAATACGAATAATAACAATAGATAAGATGATTAAAATGTTTTGGTTACAATAATTAAAGGTCATTAAAGGTCATAGAGGTGTAAAATAAACAAGATGATATGGTTTACCATTACGACCTATTTTGGATATGTCAAGCTCACCATACCACCGAATAGCCCAATGGTTAGCTGAAAAATTGGAACCAGTTAGAAGGCAAGTATCTAAATATTCTATTCATGATACTTTCAATTTATTGATCGTATTTAGGATGTTAATACTTCCGGAAAACACATGTTCTCGCTTGACGTTAATTCTTTATTCACTAGTGCACCGTTAACGGAAACGATATGTTATATTTTTGAGTATATTGACTCTAACAACATAGTTCTAGGTATTCCAACTGAACACTTAAAAGAATTATTGTTACGTTGTACCTTTAATGTCCAGTTCAGTTTCAACAATGAAATATATAGACAAAGAGATGGGATCGCAATGGGATCTCCTTTAGGTCCAATTCTAGCAGACTGCTTCATGGCAAAACTAGAAAACGATCAACTCAGTTCAATGATAAGTCGATTCCAACTATACGTAAGATACATGGACGACACATTTGTCGTTTGTGACGATAATATTGATTTGGACAATATCTTACACTTCTTCAACTCATGCCACCCTTCCATAGACTTTACATTAGAAAGAGAGAGAGACCAATCAATCCCTTTTCTTGATGTACATCTATTGAGAAGAAGCAATGGTTTTTTAAAAAGATCTATCTTTAGAAAGCAAACATGGAACGGTCAACTAACCAACTTCTACAGCTGGGTTCCATTAATTAGAAAGAGAAACTTGATTCATTCTTTATGCTATCGTATACATCGGATATGTGGTGCAGAATGCATCAACGAAGAACTAGCGTTCCTCAAGAAAACTTTGTTGAAAAATGGCTACCCAGACCGGTTCATAGAGAAGAATATGAACAGAAGTAGCGTCGATAAGAATCCTAGTTATTCAGTGCCAAAGAAAAGCCTTTATATAAGTCTGGAATTTAAAGGTGATCGAACATCAGACATAATTAAAAATCGTTTAACAACAACGATTAAAAGGACATTTAACGCTGCAAAACTACGAATAACCTTCACCAGTAAGAACTTAATTTCTGTATCCATAAAAGATAAGCTTCCGCGTTTGGTCGCCTCCATGTGCGTCTACCAGTTCACCTGCCCCTTTGGAGCAAGGTACATCGGCCGTAGCCAACGCTCGCTTTCAACTCGGATACGAGAACATATACCAGTTTGGTTCTACAATGGTGGAAAGAAAGCAGTTAGAAGTTCTATACTTGAACACTTAATCGACTGTAATCATTCGACGAATCCACAGTCTGATTTTAAGGTTGTTTATATGATTTGTTCAAATCTACCAAGATTTCTTCGTACCAAACTCCTAAAAATAGCCGAAGCTTTTACCATCCATGAGCTCAAACCAGAACTATGCGTACAAAAGAAGTACGTTTTATCATTATCGTTACCATGGCCTTAATATTATTATTAGTATCATTCTATTATTATTATTATTACTCCATTCCCCCTTTACTTATGTCTCATGTTCGCATTATTTTATTCATGAATACTCATCATATCATCTTATTTATTTTACACCTCTATGACCTTTAATGACCTTTAATTATTGTAACCAAACCATTTTAAACATTTTATTCGATTCACTAAATCTATTGTTATTATTCGTATTACGTAATCTAGTATTATAATCTTGGTCATTAGTGCTCACATTTCCTCACAGAATTAGTACTTTAACAAAATATTTTCATGTATATATACGATTGTACAGCTTGATAATAAATTCGTTGAAAAGAGATCCCTTCGCTGAACTTCGTGTTTTTAATTAACACCGTTGGATACTGGCTAAATGGTCTATCGGTTAAGAGCTCCCGTGCGAGACTGATATGTCCTGAATTCGAATCTATCGAGACAGGATCGTGGGTGCGCACTGCTGGGGAGCCTCACAATGGGACGAAACGGCCGTCCAATTACTAAAATCTCCACAAAACCCCGTTCTAAAACTAAATATATATTGAAACGAAATAGTAGTTAATTACTTTACTAATGATAATGTTTATTCTCAAAATTTTTCACTAATAAACATTACAATGTGTAACAAATCCTTTTTGATTAAGCTTATTTGCAAATGAATTATTAAATAGGTAAGTTATTTTTAAAGTTTAAGTAAAGAATATAAATTCTGCTTTTACAAAATTACATCAGTCAATTAAAGTTGATTGTCTTAATTCTACCGCAAGTCAATCAAATTTTTTCATAGTATGGCATTTATAAAAAAGAAAATCAATATTTTCCAAATAAGGAATTTATCCACAATATAGCGATAATTACCTGTATGTCATATATCATAACTTAAGAATGCTTTTGGGTTCAAAAGATATTCAAAAGAGTTAAGTTCTTGCCTTCATATGATGCTAGGCATTTTTATCGATAATCATACTAATCATTAATTTTAAATAGTAACTACTTGAAAAAAACATTCACTAAGATGTGACTACTTACGTTGTGACATTTCTTATGTAGTGATATGAAAATGGAAGTTTTATCATGCTAAGTAGAAATGTGTTTGCTGAAAGCAGAAAACATTAAAGATCATGAATGTGACTACTTGTGTAGATTCCATTGATCTTTTTGGCGGTTTGCCTAACTCCGGGAAGTTTAATATCAACTTCTAAAGTTTTCAGCGCTGTATAAGATTGTTTCAACCTATTTTAAAGGATATTTTGAGCTTTTTTATTGTTATTCCTTGTTTGTTTATGTAGTTCACTTTACTTCCCTACAATCTTTCGTAATAATTGATTCAGAGACTGATTTGTTTTTGTTCTAACCTAATTAATTTCATTTCTTTAAATAACACTCCTCATGTAGATTATGTAAATAAATAAATGATCGTTTCGTCGCTAGTACGAGGAGTTGAAGGGATTAGTTAATTTGTAATTTTTATTCAGAAACTGGTGTTGGACACACAGACATAAATTAGAAATCATTAGACGTCTATTTTGTCACTATGCCAACAATAGAAGAAGTCAAGATGGCCATCAGACAAATCAAGAGCGGGAAAGCGGCAGGATCTGACAATATACCAGCTGCAGCACTGAAGTTAAACATTTAAGTAACAGCAAACATGATTCACTTTCTATTCAAGAAGATTTGAGAGAAGGAACAAGTGCCAACGGACTGGGAAGAAGGATACCTGATCAAGATACCAAAGAAAGGAGATCTATTTCATTATAGCATGTGCCGTTGCACCAGTACCCATTTAAAACCATAACTATGAGACCTTTTGTTATCTTGAAGGAAAATACAAGAGTTGCTCTGCTTTTACTGTAATTAAAGGAGACCAAGAATCATCTGAAAATTTGGAGTTAAACAGCAGAATAAATTTTGTTATATGAACGAGTTTAATTTACCTTTATACTAATTTTCTGCTAAACTCAATCCATCTCTTGAAGGAAACCAACTTACAGACCGTAAAATATAATATGGAATCACTAAATACCAGTGATGGTAAATGGATGATAATCAGGTGTCTCATTATCAAAATATTTTTTGTTCCATAGTTTAGTTTCAAAGTTCAAGTCATGGCAACTGACTGTTTTTAAAAATATTGAGGATGTGAAGAGCTGATTGTAGTTTAACTACATGAACTTTCCTAGTAATCTATGACCACTATCAATCAAATGAACGCTGTATTTAAAAAGTGGAAAAATTAAAAATCTAACCAAATGATTTCAAATATGTAGTGGCGCCGAAATCCAAGACCTGTTGTACTAAATCTGACTGGTTCGTCCATAAATTATAGTCTCGCCAAATAATTCTGTTTTTATGTTCTTATTTGTTTATTGCAGAATGCTCTTTATATATTTGACCTTTTCCGAAATCAATTTCATTGGGGATTTCATGGTTTTTCCCATTTATAAGTTCGACTGAAACAT